CCATGGGAATTATTCTGCAGTTCACTTGCTCGCTGGCATTATTTAGAAGTTTTCTCTGTATTGTTTGCTCGCTTCGCTGATGTGTGATATAAATTTGCATTTGGAAAATTAAAATCCTGTTTACAGGCCGATTAAAATTGTGTTTTCGTGCGTCTCAATGGAAAATATTTTATGAACTTTGACTGCATTTAATCAAATGTAATTTTCTTGTCCTGCTCGTCTGTCTGCATTTCCTTCAACATTTGCTCACCCAACAAATATTTAGGGTTTAATGATTAAGGAATGTACTGCTCAAATAAAACCACTTTTTTAAGATTTTCTTTATATCCATATAAAAAAATAATACAAAAATAGGCTCTAAAACACTGGAATGTCCTTCTGTTGTCTATCACATATATCGTCGTCCAAGTACATAAGATATAGGAATGTAAAGTACAAAGCTGGAGCACTGAGAAGGTGCCAAACATCGTGCTTATCATAAAAACCGAGCAAAACACATCCTTGGTTCCACTGTCTCGATTCCGCCGGTGTTACCTAGAGAAATCCACATTTTATGGCTTATTTTTTTCTATTGAAACAACTGGCAACATACTGTCCATAAGGTGGCAGCGTCCAAGAAAAAAATGCCTGCAGCCACCCAAAAAGCCATACTCAAAATGCCGAAAAACAACGATTCCTTGCAAATCCTTTCATTGTGGGTGATCTGAAAGCGAACAATCAGCTCGGCTAAAGCCGCTGGTAAGCTTTTGCGGAAACCTTACCTTCATCAGCGTATAGTAGGTAATGTGAAGTACGGTATTGGCCATTAACAGACCCAATAAAAACGTCCCAAAATCGGTAACATTGTCGATATAAACATACAATCCCACGCCGAGAATGGCGAAATTGGTAAGATTTGCCGTGCAGACCAAAGCAAATCGAGCTAAAACGGAGCTAAAAGAGCGGGGTATAAAATCGGGTTTAAGGACTTACCTTTACGCAGAGGCACGAAAATCTCCTTACAAAGCCCTGAAGCTTGATAACTGGTCTGGAATTGGTTGAATCCATAAAGTACAAAATTCAAATAGTAAATTTTCAAGGAAAGGATTATGATTAAGGCTGCGTATCCTATGAGGAAAACCACCCAGATGAATAGGGTTCCATCGAGTATTCCTACCATGGCTTAAAGTGAATGTATTTAATTAAGCAAAATTATTTAGAAAAAGGGCGATTGTAGTTTGAAACTGATCGTGTTTTTCACCAGTTTCAAATGGGCCTGGGTGACTCAGTGAATTTTTAGGAGTTGGCGCAGTGCCACGCAAATGGCTTAGTGCGCCAACCCAACGCACCGGCCCAGTAACTCAGTTGCGTTGCTGGGGAAATGTTGATAACAATATTTTTAAAACGTCTTCTAAATTTCAGAATTTTCCAGTATTTTTAATTAAAAGAGCTGACAAACTTATGGTTTTTTCCGTGAAAAAGTATGGAATAAATTTCGAATCCTTGGGCGCTTTGCAAAAAGTTTTCAAATCCCTTTCGAGCGGCGAATTTGGAACAAACATGAAATCATTTTCTATTAAAAAACGAACAGAATAAGCGAAAGTTGATAACAGATTATTTGGAAATGTCATCACCTCCATTCCTCTGGACTGTAGAGTTTCTTAAAGTGTTTTTTAGTTTTGACTGCTTTTTATCGCTTTACTTTATTTCTGCACAAAACGCTCTATTTTGTAGAGTTTCACTTAAAAATACTGACAATCTGGAAGTCTTTTACGCGAAAAATTACAAGATAAATTTTGTAAAAAGTTTACAAAAACTTTTTTTACCGCCGAATTCGGGACAAAAACGAAACTAAATTCGTCCCGTTTTTTTCCGATAACCATTAAGGTTTTTTAAAAAGCGATCACAAAACTGTTTTTAATCGAAAACGCAAAAAGAAACCTTTTTCTTTCTTCATTTTTTCCAAAATTATCATTATTTAAAAATGACCAAAATTTATTTTGCTAGAAAATTCGCCTCATTTATCGGTTTGCAGGGAACTTTAGAAAACCCGTTTCAGCTTCGAATTTGGCACAAAAAGCAAATAATATTGATCAGTTTTTTACCGAAAGTCATTAAGATCATCTTGAAAAATCGACCAGAGCAAAAGTTTACAAAAAAATATTTGGAAAATTCGCCGCCCTCATCGGTCTGAAGATTTTTAGTTCTGAAGATAGTTTAGTTTGAAGTTCGTTTCAATTTTCAGGTCATTCCAGTGTTAGCAAAGATTCTATTAAGCGATTCTTTCTACGCAAAAATCGCATTATTTTTTAGTTTTTCTTAAAAGACTGGCAATCTTCAAGTACTTTCTGTGAAAAATTATAAGATACATTTTATTGGAACACTCGCGCCTCCTTAACCGCTTTGCAAAAATGTTTTTTTTTTGAGAAAACTGCCAACATTTGCTTATCGATGGTTCACTTTCTAAAAAGGCCATTTATTTCTCTCTAGAATGATGTATAAATGAGCGTTGTTGCTCATTTTGCTTCCGAGAAATGAGCAAAAACGGGACGAAAAACATGAAATTTTGGCATAATTTTGAACCTTAGTGTTTGATATTTAAATTTCGCTTTCTGGGTCAAAACTACTCGAATTTCCTCACTAACGTTGTTACGACTGAATCGAATTTTCAATTCTCTATTCAACGATGCCAAAACGAATTCTGTGGCTCAAATGGTTCTTGAGAAACTTCGAAAAAAGCAGCGTCATGTTCAAGTGGAT